GTGCGTGCGTGCGTGCGTGTGTGTGTGTGTGTGTGTGTGTGTGTGTGTGTGTGTGTGTGTACTATAAAAGAATCAGTGGTTATAACATTCATTCTGAACAAGGTGCGGAGGTACAAACAGCGCGGTGGCACCATACATCACCTATGGTTGGAGTTTCTCAGTGAAGGGAAAGGTCGAGGAAGAACTAAACGTTTCTTTATTTACAACTTAACCATCAACATAGAGTTATCACTACAGCTCAGAAGTTGATATTTACCAGAAAGATCTGTGCCTGATTGTTAGTCGGCATTGCGGAACGTTCAAAATGGACAGTTTACCAAACGTCAATCTGTCAGCATTAGAGTGACCTCCTTGGATATACTATCTCGGAAATGTAAGTGTCAGGTAATAAATGAGCTCTCTCTCTCTCTCTCTCTCTCTCTCTCTCTCTCTCTCTCTCTGTGTGTGTGTGTGTGTGTGTGTGTGTGTGTGTGTGCGTGCGTGTGTGTGTGTGTGCTATAAAAGAATCAGTGGTTATAACATTCATTCTGAACAAGGTGCGGAGGTACAAACAGCGCGGTGGCACCATACATCACCATGGGCTGAACAAGGTGCGGAGGTACAAACAGCGCGGTGGCACCATACATCACCATGGGCTGAACAAGGTGCGGAGGTACAAACAGCGCGGTGGCACCCTACATCACCATGGGCTGAAAAGAATGGTGGAGCGAAGAGTGACCTGGGGATCTGGCCGACGATGACTATCCAGGGGAAGGGCGAGACGGACATACAATCGGACTGTTAAGGTATTAATCGGAACTGTGCGCACTGCTGAAGATGGAGCACTTACGGGAATGTCCTGAGTGCTACGATGTCAGTTCTGAACTTGGTAACTAGTTGCAGCGGTTGCTAAACTCAGGAAATCGGAGAACTCTGAATAAGGAACATAAAAATTGCGGATGTCTCGTCCGACATTTGGTGTAATTAAATAGCGAGTTTCGGATTTACTGAAGTATGTGTACATACAAATAAATCAGTGATCATTTAAAGTTCACTTTGAAATTGCAGTGGAAAAATACTGTTTTATTGTTTTCACCACATTTTTAGAATAATAATAGTTTGCACAGGCTGTAATGTAATGTGCTTGTCTGACTAATAATAGTACTTGTGAATACTGTATCGAGAGAACACCGGTAGGGTACTGACTCTGACTGGGTACTGCTAAGATGTAACTCTAACTTAGGTAAGTAGTCGTAGGCTTCATAATCTTGTACATTTATTATAACATAATAGTCATCAATTAATGTGTGTTTATATTAACAAAAACAAATTTCCCTCTAACATTCATTGTGACCGTTGCTAATGATAACTTTTAAATAAAAATAAAAACAAGCATCTGTTTGACAGTTTGACGTAACAATTAAAGTTTGGGCTCACCTCCGAACTCTAACTCATTATGGCGGCCTGAAATATCCGTTCGGGGCTCAGTTCTATTAAAAATATGCCGGCTCCGTATAACGAAACAAATGCTCTAACAGAGTCTCAGCGATCCGATATGTTACTTGCAGACCTGTTTCTTATTGTTTCTGATTACCTGACAATTCTAAGAGACGCAATACTGCAGACATAGTAGCAGATGACGATAATAGCGACCGTTGACACTTTCCATTGTCGGACAAATATGTAAAATGGGGATTTGTCGGACTTTTTGCCGCTGAACAAATCGTGGCGAATGTAGGATCAGCTGGGAAAAACAAAACAAATGCTCTAACAGGGTCTCAGCGATATGTTACTTGCAGACCTGTTTCTGTGACTATGCCTCATCGCTGACCGTATCACCCACGCCGCTACGCGCAGCGTGGATAGGGGCTAAACTAGATGGCTGGGACTCACGAGCAGCAGCTCCGCATCTCCTGCAACTTCCTCCAATTACTTTGCTCGTGAGTCCCAGGCACCTAGTTTAGCCCCTCATCTGCACCGCGCGTAGCGGCGCTGGGGATACGCTCGGCGGTGAGTTTAATCGCGTTTTGTGCATGCCGACAAGTCTGACATCTACCGCTGCCTAAATCCTCAATCGGAAGAACAGTATTGTGTGGGAGCGCGTGGTCTACCCACCATATCGATTTCATCATCTGTAATGTCTCAAAATTGTCAACGGTCGCTTTTATTGTCTGCTAGTATCGTCTGCAGAAACGCTCGACATAGTCACCGGTCGCTTATATCGTCTGCTACTATCATCTGCAATGTTGTGTCTCTTGAAATTGTCAAGTAATCCTAGTTTTGCCGCGATTTGTTCTTTGGCAGAAAGTCCGCATTTTTCATTGGACTGAGCTCCGAATGGATATTTCAGGCTGCCATACTGCGGGGGTACAAGTTCGGAGGAGAGCCAAAGTTTAAAAAAGTTTTTAACTTGTAAAGTAAAAAACCAAACAGATTTGAACTATAATTCGCCGTCTCCTTATGGGATGCAATTTTCAGCTATTAGGAAGCCCCACCCTGTTGCCGGTGGTCCTTAAAAAACCCAAAGGTTAAACGGGGTTTAGGGGACATCTCCACGTGTGTTTTTATCCCCATGGTGGCACTTTGTGTCACCCGGTGTTTATCGCTCTGTGTGATGACTTGGTGGGGTAAAACTTACTTGCTTGTTAGCTTTGAGCTATGGAGCTCCCATTTATTTTATGATTACACAAATTTTCAGAAACTGTGTGTGTATTTGTGTATATATGTATGTAAATAATGCAGTGTTGCAGCATGGCTAAATTCTATGTCTTATAGACGTGTCTCAGAAATTACCATTAACATATTCTCAACCATTTCAGGTAAAGAAAACTATTAGAAGTACAACAGAATATTTATAGTAATTAACTGTTATGCTAGAGTTAGTGTTACCTGTTTGTTAAAACAAAATCTCTTGTGTATCAGCATCAGGCTTGTGTTCTCATCGCTCTTCTTTGCGGCAGTGAAACTTTATCATCAACTGATCTTCACTAGGATAAATGGCTAAATAGCCTTCACATGTGATATCTGAATACTGGGCATTTAAAGTGCAGGACAGGATCACAAACACTAGGTACTGGAAAGAGCAGGTATTACAACAGTCTTCTCAGCACTCAGTCTATGAAAGCTCAGGTGGCTGGGTCACACCTGGAGGATGGCAGAGTTCCTAATGACATCCTTTATGGTGAATTACAGATGGGTAGAAGATGTAAAGTCCCACCCCTACTATGTTATAAAGATGTGTGCACTGTGCACATGGAACATGAATGATACTGGTATTATTTTGAAATCGTAGGAACACAATTCCACAGACTGTGTTGTGTGGAGGGGGCAGATCAGGTCAAGAGTGCAAATGAAGGAAGAAATGATTGAATTGCAGACAAGGTGAGCGCAGAATATATGAGAAGAAACACGCTAAATACAGATGATGGCACAACCAGTGCCTTTTCAAGCTGACAGACCAACTGAAGTTTTTCAGAGTGAAATGAATGGAGGAACTGAGTTTTACATGCTTTCTATTGATGTTATCAAAATATGTTGTGTGGAGGGGGCAGATCAGGTCAAGAGTGCAAATGAAGGAAGAAATGATTGAATTGCAGACAAGGTGAGCGCAGAATATATGAGAAGAAACGCGCTAAATACAGATGATGGCACAACCAGTGCCTTTTCAAGCTGACAGACCAACTGAAGTTTTTCAGAGTGAAATGAATGGAGGAACTGAGTTTTACATGCTTTCTATTGATGTTATCAAAATATGCTGTTGTGAAGTGTTATTAGCCATGCCTGCGGAGTGTTCAGTGCCTCGAATAATTGAATTGTGATACTTCCGGTTGATATGTGAATGTGTTTAAATTTTCTTTGGATGCTTAGAAGAGAAAGATAGCTAAAATTGAAAAGAAACTGAAAGCTGGCAAAGTTCACTCACTAATTATCAGCATATTAAATTACTTTATACTATAGGTGATAGGCTGAGTGGTTACTTTTCTCTACCACATATGTGGATATTGGAACACTTGAAGTATATGTGGATATTATTTCAATATTTGATGTAGATTATGTGAATATTCACTAGCTAAAATGTAATTAGTTTCTGTTGTAGTTTAGTTTGTAGTTTATGTTTCTCTGTTGTTCAAATTAAGGTCATTGTTCCTTTTTTCCCCATAATTTATGTGTAGAGTGCCACAATATCTTGGAATGAAAACGGGACATCCCACTATTATTTTGAGATGAAAATGGGTGGACAATAAGAATACTGCAAAAATACTGGCTGGACAAGAAAAACAATGTAAATATACTTAGTGGACACACACAAATATTGAAAACACTGCAAAAATACTAGGTAGACAAGAGAAACACTGTGAATATACTGAGTTGGTTAGTTGCATATCCTTTACAGGATGTTGCAGAACCAACCCCAGCAGCCCCTGGCTGTTGTGTGGTTTCTCTAGTCAAATTTATGTCCAGTAGTTTGCTTTCTGCACAGCCGACCCCCTGATACCACTGTCGAAACCAACGCAGGGCGCATGGCCCGCAGCTGGGATCAAACCCGGCACCCCTGCATTACGAAGCGTTTGCATCGTCTTAGCCACAGAGCCGACGAATATACTGAGTAGACACACACACAAAAACCACTGTGAATATACTGGGTGGACACGAAGAATATTGCGAATATATTGGGTGGACAGAATATTACACACAGGCATCTTTTCCTGCCATTACTGCATTTGACATATGGTGCTAGACCACTTAGCAGTGGATGGCCATGGGGAAAGCACCTTTATTTCCCTAGGACATTTCCTTGCACCTATTTTAGGCTAGGTTGACTTGGGAGCACATTTAGTAATAAGACTCCGCCTCTGTGTTTTTTCAAACCCAATCCAGGCTCCTAGCCGCTGAGTTACTATGGCTTTCATGTTGACAACAGTTTATATATATATATATATTATATGTATAAAAAACTTGGATTGTTCAATTTGGCAGGGTTATTTATATCTTCTACAGTTAATTTGCAGGACTTGAAACAGATGAGCTCAACAGTCAGACAGTTTGAGTTTCATGATACAGCAGCACAGCAGTCTCTGACCGTCAAAATTCCAGAGGTAAATATTTTCTTGCTGAAACACAAATTAACATAAATATATATCTGAGAAATGTAACAAAAGGAAAAATACACACAAGGGCAGGCGAGCATTTCAATGCTTCATGATACAATAGCACAACAGTCTCTGAGAGTAAGGATTCCAAAGGTAGGCATGCCATGACTAATCAACACAGAATATATCAAAGAAACATAACAAAAGTTAACAAAAAAATTACAAATACAAGCCATTGTGTCCTGGGCAATTTTTTTTTTAATGTTCATAAGAAAAGTATGTGTTAAAATATATATAATTACAGATACAAGCCATTGTGTCCTGGGCAGTATGTTTTAGTGTTTAAAATATATGTTGTGTTAAAATATATATAATTACACAATATATACACATTGTCAACAGACTCTAAGTACTCAGCTATAGTGACTATTGGTAGACATTCAAACTATGACAAGCAAGTTTATTGGCTTTTAATTGTTATTATGTCACAGCATATTTTTGTAGCTAATCATTTGTTCTGTTGAAAATTATCATATTTGACAGTTTCTTAAATAGATTTGTTATAGACTTGCCAACAGAAGAAGAACGAATCTCTCTGTCCGTTTGTTTATGTGTGTGTATGTTTTTCTCTCTCTCTTTCTGGATCTTTCTATATATATTGTTCTTTGTCTGTCTCTAAGTGACTATGTCAGAGGCCAGTTCAGCTACGGGATGAGTAGGTGTGATGATAGTGAAACATCACGAATGAACGAGTTGACCCTCAGTCAAACTCAGAGCGAGATCGGGCAGTTTGACCACGGAATAAACTGTGTCGACTGAAGCCCTAGGCCCCACTAGTAACACGAGTTACAGCATCTCAGAGATGAATGCTGGAGAGGAACAAAAGGCTTGGAGAGAGCTTGTTCTGGGAGTTGTGTAGTAGGACGCTGGACTGGACAGATGTAGGACAGCGACAGGTAAAACTTATCTTAGTTTAGCGACAGTTAGATCAAATAGTATTTGAGGTAGATTATGTTTCCATGCAGTGTGTTGACGAGGTAATGTAGTGTTAATGTTTCTTGTATAGTAGACGTTCCACGCAGTATCTGTTAAGCAGCTAGTTAATGTGTGATACTCATTGTTAACACTGCCCTCTCATACTTAGACCATTCACCTTACGTGTGTCACTGAGTCCCACGTGGCATAGGCGGTGGCTTAGTTAGCGCTGTACGACAGTAAGTTTGGAATCGTGTCCTTGGTATATCCATGGGAACGGCTCAGGTCGATTAGTGAATGTAAAAGCTATTCAATGACGGCGTTTCGGATAAGGACGGGCAACTTTGTTGAGGTGCTATAAGTTGAATTGTTCTTTGTACATTAAAGATTATGTGTGTACTCAGTAGGTGTGTATTTTAAGTGTATCATAGGGTAGTTAAGTCTGTTAGCTGGCCTACCTAACGAGCCAGAACAAATCAAGGCCGAAAAAGCCTTGTACGCTGATGACCTAGCAATATGGCAGAGTCATGAAAATGTGGAAAGTGAAGCCCAAAGACTAAATGGAGATCTTAGAAGACTGCATGAGTACTGCCAAAGATGGAAACTCAAGGTTAACTGTGCAAAGACGGTCTACACAATCTTTACCAAAAGTCATCAAGTAGCAAGGAAGAATATTAACCTGAGGTTAGACAAACACCAAGTGATAAAAGAAGAGCATCCTACATACCCTGGAGTCACACTTGACCGGCAGCTCAGCCTCAAGAATTATATTTAAAACGTAAGGAATAAGGCATTGAGGCAGTTACAGTTATTAAAGAGACTTGCAGGTACATCATGGGGATCAGACAAGGAAACTCTGAGGGGCTTATATCTAGGATATGTTCGCTCTGTGATAGAGTACAACAACTCACTGCTTACAACCTGCTCCAAGAACTAACCTAGAGACTCTTGACAGAGTACAAAATTATACCCTTTGATTAATCTGCGGAGCTATGCAGTCTACACCAACTGCTGCATGTGAAATCCATACAAATGTGGAATCCCTCGGGTTGCGGAGAGAAAATATCACTTTAGAAATTTATGAGAGAAGCGTTAGAAAGAATCGTAACCATCCTAATAGACACCTTGTAGAAAACTGGGAATACAAACAAAGAATAAAGCACAAATCGGTTTTACACTGTGGTAATGAAATTCAGGACAGATACCACCTCCCAGAAAGACGTCAAGGCATTCAGAATGTTGCAAGAAACTTACCACCACATGCTCGCTTTAAAACTCCAGAAGTCTGAATTAAATTGATAGGCAAGGAAACCAAACAGTCCGACCCAATCGCTCTTATGAACTCATCACTAAAGACCATTGATTTTTACCCCCAAAAATGGATACATGTTTATACTGATGGATCTGCATTTAAAGCTACCATTAAAGCAGGTTATGGAATCTACATAGGTTATCCCGATGGATCTGCTGAAGAGATTTTTAATGCATGCGGGGAATTCTGTTCAAATTATGAAGCTGAAATAATTGCACTGGAAACAGCAGTATACCACCTAAAGACTGTAATGGATGTTTACCCTTCAAAGGTCCAAAATATTGTCATCTTCACCGATTCAATGTCTGCCCTTCAAGCTCTGGAGGGCAGTGAACACTGCAGAACTGACATAGCCAAGATAATCCTGGATGCTGATCAGCTTATTACCTCATACAACATCAGAATAGTGATGCAGTGGATTCCAGGCGACTCCGGCACACCAGGTAATGACAGAACTGACAGATTGGCAAAGAAAGGAGCAACACAAGAACAGCCACCTACAGCGACAACCCTACAGAGCAAAAACACTTATAAGAGCTATATACAAAGACACTTGGTTGAACAGATGGGCCATGGGAGACACTGGAAGAGAGGTTTCTAGACACATGGCTGGCCCTGATCCTAATGACAGCATTAACCATCTAACAAGAAGGGACCAGGCCACCATCTTCAGACTTAGAACGCAACATACTCCACTCAATGGACACCTAAACAGAATACAGCCACAACACTCCCCAGAGTGCCAGCTATGTAACTACCCCTACAAAACTGTTGACCATCATCTCTTTGAGTGCCCAAAACTCAGCGAAACTCGAAGAATGCTACTTCCTCCGAGACCAGACAAGTGAAACACCTTGTACGGAGGAAAAGAACAGCTTGTGAAAACATGCAAATTCCACTACATGGTATTGGGCCAAAGGGTGAAAGCTCATGCGCCGCTGGATCGATAACAACAACAACCTAACGAGCCATAGGAATTAGATTGATAAAGTAGGTCCCTGACAGACTATCCAAATTTATATGTGTGACATGAAGGACCCATTTCAAATATCCAAGTTACTGTCCATAAGAAAGGCAGCAAGGAAAAGAGATATATATATCATCTTATAAAGCTCAGACTGTAACATATGGGGACTATCACCTGTTCTATTGTCTGCAATTGTTTAAATAGAATATGAGTTTTGTAATGTTAATTTCACAAACAGCAGATGCCAGATTTCAGTGTGTTTATTTCTTGTGACAGGTTACAGAAGCAAATTATGGCTTGTATATCTGGCCTTGTGCCCCAGTTCTGGCCCAGTATGTTTGGTTGAACAGAAATACAATTACAGGGAAACATATAATTGAGGTCAGTATGTAACAGAATTAGTCATTTGAGTCATTTTGTTGCTGATTTTGATGTTATTATAAACATTATTATTAAAAGCATGCCATAGTAGTTAGTATATGGTGTCTGCTACATATATGTTATTAAATATAGCTTAATTTGACCAGAGTTCTAATTTTATATGTTGGACGTATCATCGTGAGGCACTGTGCCAGCTAGCAGGGGTGCTCATGCTTCCTCACATATTGTAGTCTCCACTAGCATGCATCAGTTCATGTGCTGACACCTTTTATTGTCATTACAAAAGGTTTTCAAAAATTTTCTTTTGTTATCTTTATCCATCTCTCTTTCTATAAATCTCTCCAGTTGTAACAGCTAATTCCAGTTTTTCTCTTCTTATTGTGAGGCTAAAATGATGACTACCAGTTTCTTATATTTGTATTTGGTTGTCTTTATTAGATGCAAAACTAACAAATGTACAGTATTTTCTTGTCTGACCTAGGCTGCTTACCGTCACCTATCCTCTATTAACAATATTTGACAAAGAACTAACATAGCCTAATTAAACTGATCAAAATGGTTTCTGGTAATTTGCTTAAAAATGTAATCATTTCCTAACTCACCTCAGTGTGACCAAAGGGTTCAGCCTGCATACTTAGCTCAGAGGAGTGGCAAGACGGACATACAACCAGACCGACCAACACCATAAGTATTGTATAGTCATTGTGATTCTGAGGTATCAGACTATACACAACTCTGTACAGACATTGTGATTCTGAGGTATCAGACTATACACAACTCTGTACAGTCATTGTGATTCTGAGTTACCAAGGTATACATAACTCTGTACAGTCATCTTACTTCTTATTTATCAGACTATACACAACTCTGTACAGTCATCTTGATTCTTATTTATCGGGCTATACACAATTCTGTACAGTCATCTTGATTCTAATTTATCAGACTATTCATAACTCTGTACAGTCATCTTGATTCTTATTTATCTGACTATACATTACTCTGTACAGTCATCTTGCTTTTAATTTATCAAGCTAGGCACACATCTATAAAGTCATCTTGATTCTGCAGATTGGTGCTGGCACTTCCTTGCCAGGTATCGTAGCTGCGAAATGTGGAGCAGCGGTAACCCTGAGTGACAGGAGCACATTTGACAACTGTCTCAGCGTGTGTCGCCAGAGTGCACACCTGAATGGCCTCACTGATGTGTCAGTAATTGGTCTGACATGGGGTCAGGTCACTCCTGCACTTGTCAGTCTTCCAAAAGTGAACATTATTCTGGCATCAGACTGCTTTTATGATACAAAAGGTAGGTAACTTTCTGGCCATGTGAAGAGTTATTTGCGTATCCTTCACAGGATACCGTGCATTTTTTGGGTTTTTCTTGGCAAGTTTACGTCCAGTAGTTTGCCATTGTTTCGTGGACAGTCGGCTTCTCGATACCACTGCTGAAGCCAACACAAGGCCTGCAGCTGGGATCGAACCTGGCACCCTAGCATTACCAAGCGCATTTGCAACACCTAAGCCACAGATGCCGACATTTGAAGAGAAGGGAAAAGATATAGATGATGCATTGATCTATACAATACAGACAAAAATGTGAAACATTATCCTAAGTATGAAATAATGTCCTAAATCTGAAATAATTTAATAATGTCCTGAATCTGAAATAAAGTCCTGGTTGTAAAACTTCCTTAGTGTGAAATCATGTCCTAAATCTGAAATAATGTTATAAGTGTTAAATAATGTTCTAAGTAAGAAACATTATCCTAAGAGTGAAGCAGTATCCTAAGGGTGAAACAGTATCCTAAGTGTGAAACAGTATCCTAAGTGTAAAACAGTATCCTAAGTTTGAAACAATATCCTAAGTTTGAAACAGTATCCTTAGTGTGAAACAGTCTCCTAAGTGTGAAACAGTCTCCTAAGTGTGAAGTAAAGTCAGTACTACATAGAAACATCACACTTTACCAAGGACAACTGACATTGGTCGTTGTTATGATCAGGAGGGTTCACTTTGTTGTGACTCAAGTTCAGATCTGTGCTTGTTGGAACAGAAACAAGAAACCTGCCACTATGGACCCAGACCTGTCTCATTAAGCAGGTGCACTAACCATTATGCCACCATGACTCTGCTGTGTGCACATATTAAAACTCTTCACTGTTGAAAATCAGAAATATTTCTAATTGGTTTGGCTTCTGTAACACATATTGGGATCCAGACTGGTGAGCCTTTTGTGGCAGAATCTGAAGTAGGAGGTGACGACACCAGAGGATCTGAGGTAGGTGTTGATAATGGCATGGGATCTGAAGTAGGAAGTGATGATGCCAGGGAGTCTGAAGTAGAAGTTGACGACGCCAGGGGATCTGAAGAATGAGTTGGCGACGCCAGGGTATCTAAAGTAGGAGGTGACGACGCTAGGGGATCTGAAGTAGGAGGTGACGACGCCAGGGGATCTGGAGTAGGAGGTGATGACGTCAGGGGATCTGAAGTAGGAGGTGATGATGCCAGGGGATCTGAAGTAGGAGGTGAGGACGCCAGGGGATCTGAAATAGGAGGTGGCGATGCCAGGGGATCTGAAGTAGGAAGTGACACCACCAGGGCTTTTTTCTGGCAGTACGTAATGGTACACTGTACCAGCACCTTTTGGACACATTGTGGAGAGTACCGGCACCCTTTGTTCTAGAAAAAAAAGCCCTGGACAGCACTAACATATAACTTTAAATATGGTGAAGCTGAGACATGGTGCTCTGTGGCTTGGAGGATAGTGAATAAGTTTTTACAATTTCAAGAACCTTTTATGTATTAGGGTTTGATTTTCCCAGTGGACGGTTTATTTAAAAAAAAAAAAAAATTCATATGGTTTTTAGACAGCAGTACAAGAGTCACACCGTGGAAGAGATTGTAGCCTTATAGCCTCACCACATATTTCCAAAGACAGCAATGGGTACTGTAGCTAAACTCTGTTACGAGGAAAACACATTGTTCTATTTGTTGTTGTTATTGATCCAGCTGCGCATTACCTTTCGCCCTTTGGCCCAATGCCATGTAGTGGAATTTACATGTTTTCACAAGCTGTTCTTTTCCTCCCTACAAGGTGTTCCACCTGTCTGGTCTCGGAGGGAGTAGCATTCTTCTAGTCTCGTTGAGTTTTGGGCACTCAAAGAGATGATGGTCAACAGTTTCGTAGGGGTAGTTACATAGCTGGCACTCTGGGGAGTGTTGTGGCTGTATTCTGTTTAGGTGTCCATTGAGTGGAGTATGTTGTGTTCTGAGTCTGAAGATGGTGGCCTGGTCCCTTCTTGTTAAATGGGTTATGCTGTCATTAGGATCAAGGCTAGCCATGTGTCTATAAACCTCTCTTCCAGTGTCTCCCATGGCCCATCTGTTCAACCAAGTGTCTTTGTTTATAGCTTTTATAAGTGTTTTAAATGTCTGTAGGGTTGTCGCTGTAGGTGGTTGTTCTTGTGTTTGTTCTTTTCTTTGCCAGTCTGTCAGCTCTGTCATTACCTGGTGTGCCTGGAATCCACTGCATCACTATTCTGATGTTGTATGAGTTAATGAGCTGATCAGCATCTAGAATTATCTTAGCTATGTCAGTTCTGCAGCGTTCACTGCCCTCCAGAGCTTGAAGAGCAAACATTGAATCCGTGAAGATGACAATATTTTGGGCATTTGAAGGATAAACATCCATTACAGTCTTTAGGTGGTATATTGCTGTTTCCAATGCAATTATTTCAGCTTAATAATTTGAGCAGAATTCCCCGCATGCATCAAATATCTCTTCAATAGATCCATCAGGGTAACCTATGTAGATTCCATAACCTGCTTTAATGGTAGCTTTGATTGCAGATGCATCAGTATAAACATTTATCCATTCTTCGGTGTAAGAATCAATGGTCTTTAGTGATGAGTTCATAAGGGTGATAGGATTGGACTGTTTAATTTCTTTATCTACCAATTTCAACCGGACTTCTGGAGCTTTGAAGCGAGCATGTGATGGTAAGTTTCTTGCAACATTCTGAGTGCCCTGATGTCTTTCTGGGAGGTGGTATCTGTCCTGTACCTCATGTACACAGTGTAAAACTGATTTGTGCTTTATTCTTTATATTCCAAATTTTCTATAAGGTGTCCTTTAGCATGGTTACGATTCTTTCTAATGCATCTTTCATAAATTTCTAAAGTGGCTTTTTCTCTCCGCAACCCGAGGGGTTTAACGTTTGTATGGATTTCACATGCAGCAGTTGGAATAGACCGCATAGTTCCGCTGATTAATCGGAGGTAATTATTTTGTACTCTGTCAAGAGACCTAGGTCTTGGAACAGGTTGCAAGCAGCGAGTTGTTATACTCTATCACAGAGCGAACATATCTGAGACACAAGTCCCTCAGAGTTTCCTTGTCTGATCCCCAAGCTGTACCTGCAAGTCGCTTCAATAACTGCAACCGCCCTAATGCCTTATTCCTTATGTTTTCAATATGATTCTTGAGACTCAGCTGCCGGTCAAGTATGACTCCAAGATATGTAGGATGCTCTTCTTTCATCACGTGGTGCCTGTCTAACCTTAGGTTAGTATTCTTCCTTGCTACTTGATGGCTTTTGGTAAAGATTGTGTAGACCGTCTTTGTATAGTTAACCTTGAGTTTCCATCTTTTTGCAGTACTCGCGCAGTCTTCTAAGGTCTCCATTAAGTCTTTGGGCTCCACTTTTTATATTTTCATGAATCTGCCATATTGCTAGATCACCAGTATTTTCGGCCTTGATTTGTTTTGGCAAGTCATTAAGATTAAGATTATAAACAGTGTACAGCTCAATGATGAGCCTTGTGGCAAGCCCTCCTCCAAGACTTCTTTAGAAGAGATTGCATTGTGTATCTTAGTCTGGATTGTTCTATCTATCAGAAAATATTTAACCCAGTTATACAACCTGCCATGTATTCCTATGCTCATCATCTTCATCAGGAAGCCTTTCCTCCATACTCTTGTCATAGGCCTGCTGAAGATCGACAAAGATGGCCACTGTGTGTTTCTTATTCTGGAATCCGTTATGAATTCTTTGTGTCAGTCTGAACAGCTGGTCTTCTGTACAGCTTTTGTTTCTGAAGCCTGCCTGTTCATAGCATAGGACACCAGAACTCTCTAGGAACCAATAAAAGCGCCTGTTTATCATTCTTTCAGCAACTTTGCCCAAGCATGATGTTAAGGATATCGAGCAATAGCTTTTTCGAGTCGTCTGGAGGCTAATTGGTTTTAACTATGGGGGCGATATATGCGTTCCTCCATGCCTTTGGAAGTCTGCCTGATCTCCATGTCTTATTAATTAGCCTGAGAACTACTTCTCTGCCAGACCGGCCAAGATGTAGCAGCATTTCATTGTGAATCTTATCTGGACCTGGGGATTTTCTAGGTTTTAATTTCTTCAGGGCTTGTTCTAATTCATCCATGCTAAACTCATCATCAAAAAGGGAGTCGCTGGCTGTTGGAGCTCTCTTGTTTCTTTAACAGAGATAGCTGAATTCTGTCCCATTCTGTGTGTTTGCCTGCTCTGTTCAGCTTTCTTCTTGTCTTCAGTGATTGTCTTACTCCCATCTGTCACTGGTTTTTGGGTTCACCCTTCTACTTTCTCCTGAGAGGTTTTTAACTAAAGTCCATGCTTTATTTCCATTCTGTCTAAGGTTTAAGTTGGAGCAAGTTTATGTCCATTTATCTCTTTTAGCCTTATTAACTGCAAGCTTTACTCACACATGCTTTATTGTATTGGGTCTTTGCTTCTGGTGAATGTGCAGTTTCGAGTAAAATTCTTGCTTTATTCCTTAAAGATATAGTATTTTGAATTTCCTTATTTCTGTTTAAAATATGCTACATGCTACAATCTTGTGATCACTCAGTTATTTAGATTGCGGTTACTGAATTCCATGTTAGGTAGTGTGGTTGTTATACTTGAATCAATTCAGTTAGATATTTTGTCTGACTGTTTGTTTTTTTGCTTGTAGACTTTGAAAATGTCATCATGACATTTTCGTACTTGTTGCATAAAAATCCAGAGGCCGAGGTCTGGTGCTGCTATCAGGAGAGAAGGTAAGTTGCCTAGCCAGATTAGACTGTTGCAAGTCTACAGCATTTAACCTAGCCAGGTTTCTCATCACAAACTGTTGCAAGTCTACAGTATTTAACCTAGCCAGGTTTCTCATCACAAACTGTTGCAAGTCTACAGTATTTAACCTAGCCAGGTTTCTCATCAAAAACTGTTGCAAGTCTACAGCATTTAACCTAGCCAGGTATCACATCACAAACTGTTGCCAGTCTACAACATTAAACTTAACGAGGTATCACATCACAAACTGTTGCCAGTCTACAACATTAAACCTTACCGGGTATCACATCACAAATTGTTGCCAATCTTCAACATTAAACCTAACCAGGTATCACATCACAAACTGTTGCCAGTCTACATTAACTAGCCAGGATCACATCACAAAATGTTGCCAGACTATCATGTTATGCAGAAGCTTCATGTCCCATTGATCAGTTGGTTAAATAAGTCAATGTTGGATAATATGAAATGGTGTAACTCTGACAGTTGGTCAGATCAGTCACCTCAATAAATTTGGTTGAGACTGGCAATTTGTTGAAGTTTCACCAAAAATTCCATCTTGGAGTCCATATGTATTCTTTACTACCAAAATAAATCTCCCCATTTGGGTTCTGGGACCCAATTTGGAGGTAGAGAATAAACCCATAACCTCTCCCCGTTTGGGTTCTGGAACCCCATCCTGAGGTAGAGAATAGACCCATAACCTCTCCCCGTTTGGGTTCTGAAACCCCATCCTGAGGTAGAGAATAGACCCATAACATCTCCCCGTTTGGGTTCTGGAACCCCATCCTGAGGTAGAGAATAGACCCATAGCCTCTCCCAGTTTGGGTTCTGGAACCCCATCCTGAGGTAGAGAATAGACCCATAACCTCTCCCAGTTTGGGTTCTGAAACCCCATCCTGAGGTAGAGAATAGACCCATAGCCTCTCCCCGTTTGGGTTCTGGAACCCCATCCTGAGGTAGAGAATAGACACATAACCTCTCCCAGTTTGGGTTCTGGAACCCCATCTTGAGGTAGAGAATAGACACATAACCTCTCCCAGTTTGGGTTCTGGAACCCCATCTTGAGGTAGAGAATAGACCCATAACCTCTCCCAGTTTGGGTTCTGAAACCCCATCTTGAGGTAGAGAATAGACACATAACCTCTCCCAGTTTGGGTTCTGAAACCCCATCTTGAGGTAGAGAATAGACCCATAACCTCTCCCAGTTTGGGTTCTGAAACCCCATCCTGAGGTAGAGAATAGACCCATAACCTCTCCCAGTTTGGGTTCTGAAACCCCATCTTGAGGTAGAGAATAGACCCATAACCTCTCCCCGTTTGGGTTCTGGAACCCCATCTTGAGGTAGAGAATAGACACATAACCTCTCTAACAAGCATGTCATAAAAGGTTTCTAATTATGGATTTTCCTCCGAAGTTGAAGCACGTCTGCCTGAGGGGCCAGGAACAAACTGTCTGAATACAAGCAAGCCAGATCTGTTAAATGGATGTGCACTTACAATTCACATTCTAAAACAAGACTAAAGTTCAGAGAGGACAAACAACTGGAACTTTCTGCCGGAGTTTACACCTAGTGAACGCTAATAAGAAGACCAAGAAAATAAATGATTGTTAATAATGTTAAGTACATCATCATCATGTGCCTTGCCAACTCGCATGGGCTCATGCGTCTCCACAGATCACGATCCCTGGTTGCCTGGAACAGCTCTCTTGATATCTCTCCATGCCATGTTTTCAGCACATCCAGCATCTACTCTCTTGGTCAGCCTCTACCCCTTTTCCTCAGATCTTTCTAGTTGTCACAGTGTTCTTTCATGTCTCTCAATATGTTGCCAGAGAACAGTGTTTGTCTCTTTCTTATTGTTGTATATAGAAATCTACTTTCATTAGCCTCTTTCAAGCAATCGTTGCTAGTTACTCTGGCCGTCCAATGTATTAGTAACATTCGTCTCAGAAACCACATCTCTGTCGCTGCAGAGTGATCCACTTATCCCAGTGGATACTCGGTCCCCATATCTGCATTAGCCACACCGTGGTGTGTTTCCCACCCTCCACCACTTGGAGGTGCAGTTTGGGATTTTCCCTTTCATCAAATTTGAGACCAAGATGGCATTTCTCTAACTCTCTAGGTACTTTCTGAAAGGCTTGTAAAGTACAAACAACACAAATGTTGACATTTCGCTAAAGTAAATCCACATTTTTATGAAATGCTGAAATCCATGGGAAAAACTAACAGATGCATTTCTAATAAAAACAGAAGTGTGACAGGAATGTCTTTTGTAATCTCTGCTCTTCCTTCTGCTGGCTACAGACTGGACCTTTAAGGCAACAGCTATTGCCAAAAATGGAACTGAGTGAATTCTGACCCAGAAGCATGATTAGGTACATATTACACTGTCTATTGGTCTATTTTTAAAAAATGGGTCTAGTCTTAAATGCTTGATGTGTTTGCGGTGTAAAAAAGACTTTTACTTTTTCAATTACTAAACTGTTTGGATGCCTTAATGAGGAAAGTTATCTAAACAACTGAAAGCGACAACGTGTCCTTGTTGATCATGTTTTGTTTGCTTTGATGTCATTGACAGCTCTGAGAGAACTGTGGAATATTTAATGGATAAGTGGCAGCTCTGTGGACAGATGGTGGAAATTCCCAGTCTGGAGACCATGACAAGTTCCTATAGTGACCACCTGCGCCATGTTATTCAGCTGTTCATTATAAAGCTTCAGACAGACAAAACTGTGTGAATGGCTTCAAATTGATACTTATCTTTTTTCATCTGGAACCTTATGGTGTTGAGGTGACGCACAAACTGTGAGAGAATGCCCATTTACGCAATTTGTATATGGGGTTCTCCAGGAACTCTTTTACCCCCCCCCCCTTTTTCTTCCCCTGTCTATCGTTTACATGGTTGGCTTCTCTTTCAATTTCTGTTGGGTAAAGAAACTGCTTGAGCTGTGGTTAAATGTGGTAAAACCATGAGAATGCAAGACATGTACAATGTTAGTTTTACATGAATCATTGCTGTTATCATCATCCTGTGCCATGTTGATAGGCAAATGTGGTCATGATTTGCCATCCTAAATGATAGCCCAAATCACAGATCAGATCAGTGCTTTATTCCCATCCCAGAAATACAGGATATAAGTGACTCCTTGAGTATGAAAGTTTATGAGGCGAGAGAGCTGGCGAGAGACCGAGTTTCTTTCAGGCAGACTGTGATGAGAGCGACGTTCTGCAAAGGACCTCCTACATGATGATGTGCATATATATATATATACATATACATGGTGAGAAAGGGAACAACCGGAGTGTGTTATGGTTATAGAAGTTGGAGGGAAAGAGAGGCAGTGGGAGACCAAGAGAAAAGATGTTGGACCATTTAGCATCATGGCATGGTGGAATATCTGTAATAGAAATAGCTTACAGTACATAAGACTGACAGTTGGACAGACGATGATTATCAGTGCCACAAAGCATTGCCTTTGACAAGTGGTTAAATATGTGAAAGATACTACAGCGTTGTACTAATTTCTATTTAATTTGTTCTGATGTATTGCTGTTCGTTTCATTTTGTTCTGGGAATGTCAGACTAAGTACAGCTCTGCAGGTGCAAATGACTATAAATGTTTAACACTGCCATTAAATGTATAAACATTCTCTTAATTTTGAAATTAATTTCAGATGATAGATCTGTTGTTTTGTTACTACTATCATGATACTAGCCTGGCCTAAAATGTATACTGGAAAATTTCAGGGAAGTAAAGGCAGATGATGTGTGTTGATCACAATACTTAAGAGTAGCAGGACCTTTGCTTCTATTTATTTTATCAAGGAACCAGACAGAACTGCGGCTGCTAGAACGTCTCCATGCTGGCCCCCTGGTCACAGGCTCAAAGCAGATTATCAAAAATATCTGGTCTTCCAGGTTGACTGAACTCAACAATTGATATTTCCTGGGAAGTAAAGGTGGTCAGCGTGACACATAAGTTATTGAGTGGTGATTGGTCTATACAAATATGGGGTCTAACACCAATATGTTCAGTGAACCATTGGCATGAAAAGGGTGCTTGATTTTTTACTGATAAGAGGAAAGCCTCTGCACTAACCCCACTCCAACAGATGCAAACACTTCAGGGCTGAGACAACCATTGTGATGTTTATTGCATGAAATATATCTGGTTTTGAAATTGTTACAACTAATTTTGAAACTGCCTGTTTGGGAGCTGTGGTAGCACACTTATATGCCAGCCTGATAGTCACGTGCTTGTGACCAGCTTCAGACCAGTCTTACCTGAAACAGGTACCAGGAAATGTTCTAGAAAGTAATAGGGCACAGTGTAAGCACATCACTCAGTGGTGTTTACACAAAAGGGAATTACACCATATGCAAGAAACCCCTCTAGATGTAGAAACTGGTCCTTCCACTTTACTGTCAGTCTTACTGTTATTTTTTCAACAATCTAAAAATATTTCACATTCATTTGGGTCTCTTACTTTTCCTTAGCCTCTGTCTTTCCTGCTTTTCCTTATCTGAAGAGGCTAAGTCTCCAATCCTTTACCTCATCTTCTAGGCCGAGTTTTAGATCCCTTATTTTTTAAATTTAAAAAAAAATCACAGCATGATTTGCACTTGGCTACTTGAGACACGATTGCAGGTCTTATTTCTGAACCATTCCGGCATCTGTCTGACAACAAAAACCATGTACCTAAATAATTAATGGAGTCTAACAAAGATACAGAAGTAAGAGCTCACTAAAATTGTATCATGGCACTGGAGTATACAAGATAAACAATGCACTTTGCATACTGATGAGCTGTTTTAATACCCTCTACACAATAGATTATCATATATTTACAAATGACATTCATTTACATGAAAAACTTGACTTGCACAAATGTCCCAAAGGTAAATAGAAGAGAGACACTGTCAAAGTCAAAACGACTGAGGTCACATTTAGAAATATATCTCCCTCTTGGCAGGCTGTAAACTCGGGCAGAAAGTTCTGGTTGTTTGTCCACTTCTTGACTTTGGTCTTGGTACAGAACCTGAGTTTTGCGTGCACATCCATTTTACAGATCTGGCTTGTTTGTATGCACACTTTTTGTTCCTTACCCCTCAGGCTCATGCACTCTGACTTCGAAGGAAACTTTCCTAATTGGTCACGTTGTACGACATGCTTTTTAGGGGGCAGTGGGTCTGTTCCCCCCCCCCCCCCCCCCCAACAGTGATAGGCATATATAAACTGAAAGATTCTATGAGCTGCATTCTGCCAGTCATCATCACCATCAAGTGTCTCTCTTCAATCTGCATGGACAATCATGATACTTCGCAATCTGTGATCTTCAACAACATGAATCAGTTCATGTGCTGACACTCTTATGTGCATTGACAAATGTTTGTCAAGAATCTTCTTGTGCTGTCATCTTCTCTCTCTCTTTAAAAAAAAAAATTAGTCTAGTTGACACAACATATTTCAGTTTCTTCACAAATAATGGCTTGTCAAACACAGAACACAAAAATGATAGGTAATTTTTATTTTCAACAGGTTTAGCAAGTTTATCATGGGTAAATGCACATTCCACTGCATACCCTAATATAAAAAAAAATCATCACATTCACTCTATTAAAAGAATTTCTGACAGGCCAAAACATTAGTAATATAAACAAATGATATTCATCACACACTCACTTATGTTTATACGTTATATGTTTATACATGAAGCTTGTAATCAATTCCTCCACTGCTGTCTTTCTTGTGCAGTCCTTGTAATATCATAGAGGAAATCTAGCCCAGCACCTCAGGCCTCTGTCATCAACACATGTCATAGAGTTTTTTCTGGATACACTCATTTCTTATTAAGTTTGTGTTTCCCAAAACAGTGATTGTCTTGAGATTCTGTCTATTTCGTCTCATTCAGTATACTCTCCACACAAAAAACCAAGACACAAACACAAGTTGCTTTATCCGAAGCCATTCATATTCACCCTTGACTGGGAAATTCAGTCATAGAGCCAACATTCTTACATAACAAACATACATTGACACTCAGATAAAACTTTCAGCTCTTTAGTTACCAGTCAACATTTGAACATATCACACAACACACATTGTTACTCAGATAAAACTTTCAGCTCTTTAGTTACCAGTCAACATTTGAACATATCACACAACACACATCAGAGAAACAAACAGGTCTAGCAGTTTGCATAATTCTCTTGCACATGAACTTAACTCAGAAAAGTCTCAAGGTCAAGGACCCTTTTCACTCATTGATGCATAAGCTATTTGGTGGCAAATCCATATTTTCTATAGGACAATCAGCACTTGACTGGTGATATGGTCAACATCACCATGTCTGCCTTTGCTTCTTGTTGACATTCCTGGTACTTATTTTAGGCTAGATCAATCATGGAGTCCTTGGTAAATTATAAAAATTGCCTCAGTGCAGATTCAAACCCAAGACTTTTGGACCAACATGGAAGCACCTAGCCACTGTGTTACCACAGCTCACATTCAGACAAATGTATTTGATATTTTAAAATATTATTAAAGGAAAAAAACATGAATTTGTTGCACTTTTAAATACTCAGAATGTAACTCCCTGTCAGCTCTTTAGTTAGCAGGCCTTGTGGTGTTGACCACCCTGCAGTTGCTAACAGATCCTCAGAATCACTGAGAAAACCTTGGAGTCACTAACAGAACTTTGGAGTTACTAACAGAGCCTTGGAGTCACTGACATAACCTTAGAAATACTGAGAATGTGAGCAGGAGAAACCTGACATGTGAGTTACTAACAGAGCCTTGGAGTCACTGACACAACCTTAAAAATACTGAGAATGTGAGCAGGAGAAACCTGACATGTGAGTTACTAACAGAGCCTTGGAGTCACTGACACAACCTTAGAAATACTGAGAATGTGAGCAGAAGAAACCTGACATGTGAGTTACTAACAGAGCCTTGGAGTCACTGACACAACCTTAGAAATACTGAGAATGTGAGCAGAAGACACCTGACATGTGAGTTACCAACAGAGCCTTGGAGTCACTGACACAACCTTAGAAATACTGAGAATGTGAGCAGAAGACACCTGACATGTGAGTTACTAACAGAGCCTTGGAGTCACTGACACAACCTTAGAAATACTTAGAATGTGAGCAGAAGACACCTGACATGTACTAAATGATGTCAGTCGATCCCAACATTTGTGTCTTCCACTTAATGTGCACCGAGACACATACAATTTCACCAGGCAAAACTAAATGTATTTTTGCTGTTCACTTAAAATTTTTAAACAGTTTTAAAATATAAATTGGGGGCATTCATGGCTATGTGGTTATGCCACATACTCATGTTGTGAAGGTCTGGGGTTCAGTTCGTAGATTACACCATTCATTTCACAAGTGCAATTTTTACAGAGATCAATGGATATTGTTGCTGGGGCGTTGGATTCTATGTCCTGATATCATCAATTTAAGCAGGTGGCAAGCCCTGATAAGGAAAAGAGAAAGCTATCGTCACGATCGAATGCCTTGCCAACTGGCAGGGGTGATCATGCCTCTCCACAATCTGCAGTCATTAACAGCATGTATCAGCTCATGTGTTGACACCCTTCATGCCAGGACTAAAGAGTTGTCTTTCTTTGTCTCTTTTTCAAAAGAGCTCTCCAATGATTTTTGTATAACATGTTCCAGTTTTCTTCTTATCGCAACATGGCCAACTTGCTGGTGACTCTCTTTATGATATTTGTTGTCTTCGATCCCTTGTCTCCTTCAAAACATCTGAGTTGCCCTATTTGGCTGTCCAGGGATTCTTCTGTAAAACCACAATTCCGAGGCGTCATGAAATTGTTTGACTTGTTTATTAATTGTCTAGAATCCACAGCCATATGTTAAAACTTGCTCAATAGAGCCATAGGAATACAATTTGGTTCATTGAAATCAACTGACTTGAACCTTAAACTTAAAAAAAAAAAAAAAGAAGTGCTAGATAAGGTGCATAAAGAAAATGCTAAAATGGATATTTATTAATAAAGACATTAGATTTACTGATTACCTGATTTTGGAATTACCCTAAAATGTCACCAAAAAGTGACAATCCCTGGTTGTATAAGACAGTGTGTGTTCTACCTGCCTAACCTGTAGCCGCCCCCAGCTCTTCCTTGGTGTCGGTTATCTGGTCTACCATTACCGCCCCTCTGACCCCCTCCAAAGAAGCGTGACACAATTTCTGGTGCTCCGTGTGTGCTCCATCTGCTTACCACAAACAAAACAAGTCCAAGAATGAGTCCAGGAAACCCAAATACAAGCAGGGCAATTAACAAACCCACTGAAACGATGGGCTCTACAACAATGTCGCCAAAGGTAAAAGGTGGAATTCCAAGTGCTACCAGGCGTTGGTTCAAAGACTGGAAAATGTTTACTTGTGGCCCATTCCCATTGTCTTGCTGAATGTTTCTAGTTGACTGCACTCTCCTCTGTAAGAGATAAGGAGAACATGTTTCAGTTACTGGTGAATAGCAGTGAAAAATCATAATATAAAGCCAGTAACTTCTCTGCAATGCAAAAAAATACATCTAATTATTACAGAATTAATGTCACAGCAATATAAAAAAATTATCAGATGTTCAAGTGATGAAGAGAATATATTGTGACTGTGCTTGTTAAACAGTTTGTCACTTAATAGTTTGTCAACTTCTGCACCAATCTCTTGTTTGCTCTTTCCTGCTGCCATTTTAAATTCAACATTTCAAGATCTAGTCTGTTATTATATAAATCTTCTAAAAAATCTATTTTCAACCTTTGAACTTAACCCTCTTAGCATGGACGGGCCGATTATCGGCCGGCGGATGTCTGGCCAAAAACACGGAACGGCCGATCATTGGCCCGATCGTGTTTCTCCTCGAACCTCTAAGAAATCTCCTATTTTGAAACACTGAAAGTGATTCATTCATATTCACTGCTGTATTAGCTTCACACATGGCGACTTTCGAGTGTTTGGTATCGAAGTGAAATTGTTGTTGAATTTTTTAGATAGTGACCTGAACCGCTAAAAGTATGTCTGACTCGTATGTTTCTGCCCCTAAACTTGATGTTGATAAAACATTTGAATCAAGTGATTACACTAATTCTGTTGATACTGATGCAGGATTTAGTGTTAGTGGAAATCAGATGGGGACGCTGTTGTGTTCAGACGACAGCCCAACCATGGCTCAGGGTATATCCACCCGAAGGTGTTGACACTCCGGCACATCCATTTCTTGTGCTGACTGATGGTGAAAAACACATGTCACCTAAAGATATTATTGCTTTTCATATATATATATATATACCTGTTTTTGACTATTGAATCGCTTACAACATTTGCAAAAAGGCCAAAGATCAATAAAAAGATTTCAAATAAAAAAAATTTTTGTTTTTAGTTTTATGTTTCAAGCATTAAAGTTTTAAAAATTCAAATTGATTTTTCTATTTTTAGATATGCAAATGAGATAATTTGCATATACATCAATTAATTTTAACAATATTGTGAAAATCATGAACTTCAATCTATATCCTTCAAATAGATATATTATTTCATGGGGGTCAGAATAACAGAAATCTGTCAAAAAAAATTAAATAAAGTAATAACCAAATTCACTGAAAAAAAATGCTCCGTGTTTTTGGCTAGACCTCTGAAAAACTTCCCGTGCTAAAAGGGTTAATACATTGCAATCTGGCATTTCAGTTATTTTTTTTTTCTGGGTAAACGAGTACACACAATCAGGGGCTTCCCTTAGTAACAACAGCTGAGAAGTTCTTATTACACTGAGTGATGGACTCGAATTTCCAGTTATAAACAGGGACTAAATTTTACACCAATTTCCAGTTAGGTGCTTTTACTTTATCTAAACAAAACTTCTTCCATCACCCTCATATACAATATGTAAATTTTTAAAGAACCACATCTATGTAAGAAATATGATGTGTCAGACCTTAATCTATCCATTAACCACTAGACTAGTAGGTTTACGTGAAGCTAAAATAATCAGAATTAGTTACCTGTCCTGAATGTGCATCTCCTGTTTGCCTCGAATGAGCCTGACTTGCTCTGGGATCATCATCAGCAACAATGTCTCCATTAGCCAGTATTTTCACCATTCTCTGTACACACAAAAATATGGTCTGTATTTGTCTTGTAATGAGTGTAACTCTCCACACAATGTATAGGTGAATATTCACCCATAACTGCTAGTAAGTAACTCCAGCATAAAACTAATACAGGTTCAGTACTTTCTGTCAGTATATAACAAACAGCAAACATAAATGACAGGTTCAGTACCCCTTTTCAGTATATAATTAACAGCTAACAATATATGACACAGGTTCATTAAGCTGTCAATATATAGCAGGCATGGCAATTTTATCATTTCTGATATGCTGTCAGGGCTTGTAGCTTTCCCGTGCTTTTGTGACTAATGGCTAGTCCTGTTCTCTACCATATATACCAAACATAAATGACACCAGTTCACTACTCTCTCAAACTCCTCAGAAAATCACATTTGCAGGCACCAGCAATCCAAAGTCAAAAGTGACATAAATTTTGTTTCAAGTGGTCGACAAACTTCGGAAACAATAAAATAATGTATCCAGGCTGGCTGTGTCTACAAGTGTCTAGAAATGATGATTGCAGTCACACAGCTTCCTTTTTGCTAACCTGAAGTTGTAATGGACATATGGTGCTAGCTCCATATTTGAATGGATCAATCATCACTGAAATAGCGATACAGTCAATATCCTATCACTTAAACAGTGATACAGTCAATATCACATCATTCAAACAGTGATAGTCAATATCACGTCACTCAAACAGTGATACAGTCAATATCATGTCACTCAAAGAGTGATACAGTCAATATCATGTCACTCAAGCAGTGATACAGTCAATATCACATCACTCAAGCAGTGATACACTCCCTGGCACAGATTTTCAGCCTGAGTAGACCCTTGAGCCCAGATCAATTTTTAAAAAAAGCTGCCTGGCAACAGATTTTAACCTATGATCTTCTTTGTTCTGTTGTTCTATTCCTGTAAAGCGTCACATAGAGGAGTTTCCTGTCTTTTGAAAACTGTGAAGCTTGTGTTAGAGTCTCTTGTACTAATTACATCTATCTCTTTCTTGGTTTGCCTTGTAGCCTGCTGTTCTTATGTATGTGGTATGTATGCTTTAATGGCTAGCTGTTTTTGTTCCATTCCGACCAGATGACAAAACCACATGATTCTTTGATGTTCTATCAAATCATTTACTAATAATATGCCTTCCACTGTTCTTAGTTCTTAATAGGTGACTGTTCCTTCTTGTTTTTCCTGCCACATTTCTTATTTCTTTGACTGTTCATGTCTGGCACTGATAGAACAAAGTTGGTACGAATGGTGCATTTATCAGCTGTTCTTGTGTGTGCATGTTGTTATTCTGAGGGCTCAAGCACTGTTTTGTATTTTATGTTGTTGGCTTTCTGTCACATTAACATGCTGATACACCTAACATGTTGATAGTTAAATGGGATCTATAAAACTGTTCCAGGTCCAATCAAACCAATGAATGCATGTAGGTAGTATGACACCCTTAACTTCCCAGAAAATATTCCAGTCCCTGCAAACATGATCCCTACAGCTTATTACAGTGTTGAGCTAACAAGTAAAACTGACACCAAAATATAAAAATAAGAAACCTACATTAACCTATCATTAGCCACAAGTAAAATTACTGATTGTTATTATTAGTAAAATTGCAACAGATTACATTTACGTTTCTAATTAGTACAGCCCATAAGGAAAGCACTCAAAACAAAAGACACTGTAAGCTAACAGACATGTCTTCTACTTCTTCGCGTTCACCAGCTGTACACTCTGGCGGAAAGTTCTGGTTGCTCGTCCACTACTGAACTGCAGTCCTGCTCCAGAACCTGAGTGTTGCATGTGCATCAGTTTTACAGATCTCATTCTCTTGAATACAGACTGTTGGTTCCTTGCCTCTCCGGCAGATGCACTCCGACTTCAAAGGAAGCTCCCCAATTAGTCGACTCTTACGACATGCTTTAGGGGAGGCAGTGGGTCTATTCTTGTTTTCCCCACAATGGGGCCCCAGAACCCACACGGGGGTAACAGACATGTTATGGAAGGTAATGGAGCCAGGACTAGCTACTTCAGACTAGAGACAAATGTAGCTGCAAAAACCAATTACTGAGAAGTCTTCAAACGGTCTGGCATTTGTTGGTGGATGGTCTATACCCTACTGTATGGCAAAGTGTAGAAGAGAATTAAATGTTGATACTAAAATTGTAAAATCTCTATTCAAGAATGACATACAGACTTAAATCAAATATCATGGCATTGTCTTTTCCAAGGCCTATCCAACTGTACTGTTTTTGTATAAATATAGCTTACTAAACATGACTAAAATTAGCACTGTCAGTAATCTGAAAGCTAAATTAGCACTGTCAGTAATCTGAAAGCTAAATTAGCACAACAGTAATCTGAAAGCTAAATTAGCACTGTCAGTAATCTGAAAGCTAAATTAGCACTGTGAGTTATCTGAAAGCTAAATTAGCACTGTCAGTAATCTGAAAGCTAAATTATCACTGTCAGTAATCTGAAAGCTAAATTAGCACAACAGTAATCTGAAAGCTAAATTAGCACTGTCAGTAATCTGAAAGCTAAATTAGCACTGTCAGTAATCTGAAAGCTAAATTAGCACTGTCAGTAATCTGAAAGCTAAATTAGCACTGTCAGTAATCTGAAAGCTAAATAAGCACTGTCAGTAATCTGAAAGCTAAATTAGCACTATCAGTAATCTGAAAGCTAAATTAGCACTGTCAGTCATCTGAAAGCTAAATTAGCACTGTCAGTAATCTGAAAGCTAAATTTGCACTGTCAGTAATCTGAAAGCTACATAGCACCTGGCCTATTGGTGCATGACATATTTAATATATATTCAGTCTAAATGGTTCCCATAAAAATTAAGTCAAACAAGACCGCTATGTGGGAGGCAGAAGATGAATATGAAACCAACCTAGTTCTGCTGCATGCTGTGGGAAACACTGCGGAGGGGACACAAGCAGTATAAATGTAATAAACGGTCTGGTTTGTGGTAGAGATCATCTGCCCCAGGTGAGCTGCCATTAAGAAAACATTGGGTAGGGGTGAGAGCCTCAGCCCTCTTTTAATTTCCTAGGGAGTGGGGAAGAGAGTGGTCTTAAGCTTCATTACACCATGCGACAATAATAGTTTAAAGGGAGTTTAAGTTTTTTTTAACTGTATAATAATAATAAATAATAGTATTATTAGTGTTCGCTGAATGACAAACAAAAACAGTCATTAAAATATATTTGAAATAAGTCTTTACATGAAATGGAAGGGGGTTTCTGCTCTGAAAAACAAATTTAGGAAGGGAGCTCGGTATCAAGATCATTCAAGAGGCACCATCAAGCCTCAGGTTCCAGGGCCTATGATCTGTTCACTAAGTTTGTGACCCCCCATTGTAGAGATGATTAGATGATTCAAATTTGACTTTCTGTTCTGACTGTTCTGTTTTGACTGGAACATATTTCAGCCATTACTGCAGAAAGCTACCATCTAGAAAAGCAAAAATTATATCAAGATGATACGTCTGTGATTTCTCTCCAGTATTATACTAACAACAAGAAGCTGGGAACATATCTGTTTAGTGTGACGTGTCGAATTCAGCACTCGTTCCAGATTAATATTATTTTGCAACTGTTGGCTCTGGTTTGTTAGGCAACTAACTTTAACTAACAGAAGAAAAACTGAAAAACTGTAAGTACAAGTAGATTACTCGTAAGATTACTGCTACGATAAAGCAATGAATAAAACGTCTGAACCACGCTATTTTTATGAGAAATAACAACATCCCTAAATCCTACTATGAAGAATTATCTACCTGAGATGTTATTATGAAAATGTTTCTTGCCTACACATCATCATCTTTCAACCCGGAAATGCTAGTTATTTTATTTCAGACACTGAAGATCTGCATTTTGATTTAAAAAAGTGAATGCAGAATTTTTCGAGCTTAGCTGAAATATGATCCCGTCTCCATGTGGGCACGAAATTTTCCTTATTTTGAAGTCCCACCCTGATTGTTGTTATTTAGGTTAGTTGCGTATGTGTGTACATGTGTGTGTGTATGTGTGTTTGTTTGCCCTTCAGTTCAAAGAAAATAGTTCCTGAGTATGACAAATGCTTTTAACACTGTTTAAAGTCTAGAGGTTCGACTTCACCGCATCGAGTTTTATCCCATGCGATGCAGTCTCTCTCTCTCTCTCTCTCTATCTCTCTCTCTCTCTCTCTCTCTCTCTCTCACACACACACTCTCTCTCTCTCTCTCTCTTTCCTTTTTTCTCTCTCCCGCTGCAAATTCGTATAAGTTTCAAAAGTTCGTAATAACTGTTGCTGTTATTATTATTGTTATTATTTCTAAATTACCTTTCATATAAAATTAGCAGTTTAACAAATCTTTACTTGACAAAACTTGACACTTTACCGATACAAGATCAAAACTACAAATTCATTTTTCTTGATGCCAGCTGTTCTGTTTTGTGCTCACAGTTAGTTTCCCAGTTTCTTTTCTTTCTACACTGAGTAGAGCAAGATCACAGTCTGTGTCTTGTCCCACAGATGCCCTTCAATAATAAAGACTGAGTCCCATTTTACTAAAAGACCTTTCGCATCTGGCAATGGAAACCGCAGTCGTTAGCATCATAAACAGAAATGCAACGATTACGAAAGACACACTGTCTCCATAAAGAGCAATGAACTTGATGTACTAGAAGCAAAGCAGAAGGGGTTATCTTGTAATGGACGAAAGAAAAGAGATAACTATAAAGGATAATATGGTAATCTATTCCTTGAAATCTCCTCTATTCCGAACCTACAAGAGCTCTAACAGTGTGACGTGGCAAGTTGGAGCGAAAACCTAACTTTAAGCTGCCTCAGTAACAAGAATGAAAAAAGAGAAGGGGTTCATTTAGGCGGGGGTAAGATCAAAATTACTCACCCTGACAAGAAATCTTCTGTGTAAAGTCTAGATCAACCAAGAAACAAATAAACAAAGCATACTAACTACAAGTCCTGATCTGAAC